TCTCCTTCCAAGTGCCATCTGTCATTAAGACAAAGCAGAGCTGAAAAATCAGGGCACTGAAATTCAGGAGCAGTATGCTTTGTTCTACATGCCAGTAAGGGAAAAGTTAGCTTTTGGGAGAAGGGAAGGGCTTCCATCTGGACCTACAGCTTTTGAAATCCCAGGAAGTTCTGCAGCAAACAGAGCTGCCTTCCTCATAGTGCAGCAGCCTTGTCCTGCAAGATGTCAACACCAGCTACTTCAGAAGAGAATGCTACAACACCCCACAGAGGAGAGTTTATAATGCTAATTGACCTAAAGAAAGCTGCTCGGAAGCTAATCAGCTAGGTCTTCAGAATGCTCCTACAGATGTTTGTGTAGCTTACTTTGAGAAGGTACAGAAAACATGCTTACATGGGACAAAAGAAGACTTGAGCACACTCCTTCCTTGGTGTAGATAAAAATAACAGCAGGCCTAAATTACCCAAAAAGGTGATTGCTACAATCTAGTCAAAGAAAAAAAGATTTGCTTACCTGTCCCAAAGATCACAGCTTGCCAAATGCTCCAAAAGAGGGAATCCCCAGGTAGAGACCCTTCCCTTAGGGCATCTAGCCCTTAAATGAGGCTTAGGGAGGGTAGAACCAGGCTTCTGGTCTCACAGGTGAATTGCTTTCACTTGTGTTCACAGGGCTGGCTACATTTGAACCATTATTCAGAGTATGTCCATAAAATACAATCATATTTACCAGAAAAGAGACTGGCATCCTAGGGTACCCCTCTTCTACCCAGTTTTCCCTCTATAGAAAGCACTAATATCCTTATTTAAAACATTTGCACAGAAGTTTATAGAGGCCAACTTTAACAAAGGCTTATAGTTCATAATAAGATCAGAGCTTGATTTGGGGCAAGTTTCTTTGGGGCAGGAGTAGTGTCACCTTGCATTGGATAAGATGTAGCTGCACTTTCAGCAGTCAGAACAAACAAGAAGTGGTAAATTGCAACAACACCTTGTTTCTAAAGCAGGTAAAACGCTCTGCAGCTGTGGTGTAACGGATGTTAAGGGGCTGAACTCAGCTTTGTCTCCACTTTAACGAGCTGATCCTGAGCTGGCCAGGGCAAACACAGCAGATGCTGTACAGATGTTGACTCAGCAGAGAGCTCATCCTGTGCAATATGTACATTGTCACAATGCATATCAGTATCTATTATTTATACATTTATGACTGTAATACACGGTTGGCCATTCATAAGTGCATTACAATACCAGGGATGTATACTGAAAAGTCAGGGAAATAACAAACAAGATGACAGAAAAGAACTGCTTCTCCGCAGTTATACGGCTGTCACTTTAGTTTTTAACTATAATTTAAACTCTTCTGGGCTGTGTACAGACGTTTTGAAGAGCGTTTCTGGCTTGTTTTCCTCCAAGCTTACTCACTGCAAATTTGCAAAGAGTTTATTTAAAACTGAAGAGGCGACAATCACACGACAGCTGATTTGGTTACTGATGAGCGTGTGATTCTCCGGATGGCGTTTGGTCAGCAAGGCGTGATGCAAAGCAGTGCAGGCTGCTGAAGTCCTACTGCAGAGTTTATTCAGACAGAAGCGTGGAACAGAGAGGGAACAAAAACCTGAATGCACAATTTGAATAGCGTACTAGCTGATCTTTGCATATAGTAAGTAATGCAAAACAAAAGTGTTCTGTTTGAGAAGGTAAAATATGTTAAAATACTCTCTTCTTAAAAAACTATATTTTTGGATGCTTGGGAAAGTATTTTGACAATTGCAGTCTTATCTCGCATTAGATTTTTCAGGTGTCAAGAATGTCAGGAAGAAAATCTTCCTTCCTTCCAGCATTTTGATTTCTTGTAGGGGCTTTGTGTTAAATAATGTCATGTTGATGAGGCTTATTGGGAGAAGAAAGAAAAAAAAAAAGATGTTCATTTTCCATTTTTAATTAATGTTAAGAATACAGAACAGTTGCTGCTTCACTTTCACTCCATTGCTGCTCATTAATGTGTATTTAATGTCGCTTCAGTGTTCTGTCACAGAAGAACGTTAGGCTTGAGCTACCAAAAGCAGGTGCAAGTCTTCTCCTTGCCATCCCTGGGAGCTGCATCAGATCCCAGGAGTTTAATTAGGGTATAGAAGGCAGGCAGCAGTTTCCAGATTTCTCCCACTCTTCCCAATTAAGGAATGAAACTGGCAACCTGCCAAGAACATGGCTCTTTCAGTGTTTCCATAAAGCATAATCCAAGGGTTGTGCTAGAAAAATACAAGAATCAAAGCACAGAATCAAGCTGTAGCGTAGCAGTTGCTGATGGGATGGCACTAGGGGGGGAAAACTGGTGTGTTTCACCAAGTGAGGAATTGAGCAAGGCTTTGCACAGGGCCTGTATCCCTGGACAAGATGTTTCCCTGTGCTGAGGAGGCTGGGAACCCACTGCAGTGTGCCCCTACCTGCTGCCTTGAGCTCTGCATTTCTCATTCAATGCAGGTGCCAGGTCTCAAGTTCCATGAATTTTCCCTGCGTTTAGTGCAGTGGTAGCTAAAAGGAGAGGTTCTCAGCAAGTGTGAATTGATGCCCTGTACTCCCATCAACAGAGCTTTGCCTACTCATGCAAACTGAGGGTGTAGGTGATGCCATCAGACAGAAGCATCCTCCCTTTTTGCTCGCTCAGTTTCAGAAAGATCAGCTGATGGCAGGAGCCTTCTCCCCTCTGTTGGTAGCTGCTGGTATCAGCTTTATTAGGCAAGTGATAATTAACATCACCAGAGAAGCAGTTGTTTAAAGATTTCTGTGGGAATTATTCTTCCCAAAAGCAACACGGGCAGTAATTCTGCAAAACAGAGAGGAGAGAAGAGCTGCTAGAAGGCTGCTGCCCAGCGCTTAAACAGAGGGGAAATTATTTGGACTTAAAATACAGACGTGAAATGATGGTGGTAGCAAACACACTTAAAATGGTGAATGAATGAAAAAAGAACACAGCAGTTCCTGTGATCAGTTGCATAGGCTCCAAATTGCCACTTAGCTCTCACCACTTCCCCAGATACACATGGGGAATAATGGTGACCCATCCACACGACACAACAAAACACAGCCATCTCCTTTCTGTTCCTTCCCATTAGAATGTATTTTCTGAAGTTTCTCTGTGGACAGTTCTTAAAACTTGATGTTATCAGTGGATACATTTTTTTTTTTTTCCATTTTAAACCTATTGTACCATTCTGTTTATTATGTTTTCTAGTGTGAGCAGATCGTATTTATTTGAGAAAAATGTTTGCTGTTTAAAAAACCAATAATTGTATTGCCAAAAATAGCTGTAATTACCTGTGACATCTGTATTTTTTTATTTTGGGGGGGGGTGGGGGGGAGAAGGGTTGGTTGGTTGTTTTTAATCTCAAGTGCTAACAACTGTTAAAACAACCATTGCATTTTAATTTGCTTATTTCATTAAATGGATTTCTCTGAAGTCAAACAAAAGCAGCTCGTAGGTGATTTAATAAAGATGTGCTCCCGCACCTTGCCCTTCCTATTTAAGCGTTGCTCTGCTGAAACATGGAAGAGAAAGGGGAACGTGAGCTCTTTCCCCCTCCCTTCACTGTAGATGAAGTTTGTTTATCTGACAGCAGATGGCACAAAACCCTCTCAAGTCTTTTCCTGCTGCACGGGGACCGGGTTTTCCCTCCGGGTAGGAGGCAGATGGCTCAGTGTCGTCTCTACTGCTCCGTGGCTTTTCCCCTCAAAGTTTCTTCACTGTCATATTTGGATGCATGGCATTGGAAACACGACTTTTAAACAAAGGCTATGTCTACCTCTATAATACACTTTTGGGAGCTCTTAATCCAGCAGTGTTATCAGCCACTCAGACTTTTCATTCAAATCAACTAATTGCTTTGAGTTTTATGGCATACAGCTCTGTTTTCTCATGGAACTGATCATGTCAAGGTTAAAGCCACAGCTTTTATCAAGCGTATGCCAACAGAGCAACGCTTCCACACACCTGAAAATTTAATGGAAGTAGGTTCTAATAAATTAAAAATGAAATGCATGATGTATTTCTAATTAACCATTTTGTCCAGCTCGCTCAAACCCATGTCCTGCAAACACATAATGATTTTATACCACGTTTCATATCTTATTAAAGCCAGCTCACTTTGACAGTATTTACCATTTGCAAAAGCGTTGGGCAGCTGCAGAAAGCTGCCAAAGGAAGACGTGCTGAAACCTTGCTGGAAGGCAGCACACACGAGTCCTTCACAGAAAGGAGCTCTGCCTGCAGCAGGCTTGGGTGAATCTCATGCTCTTCCTTCACATCACACACTTAGGAGACAAAGAGAGCTCTGCTATGCCCCAGCTTGCCTGAGAAGGAACAAGGGGACTTGGGAAACCCACTGCTCCTCTGGATGCCCTCAATGCATTCAGCCCTGCCCCACGCCTCTGCTCAGCAGTGATCCGTGTGTCCTGCTGGCACTTCACTGATGCTCTTTGCTCCTCATGGAGCCACAAACCACACAGCAAATGACCTTGCTTGTTTGTCAGCATTCCTGCAAGCAGAGCAAGACTGTTTTTCCAGAGATTCAAACTGAGTTCTCAAGCAACCCTGTGATGGTTGCACTACAGCAGTACCCACCAAAGATGCTCTGCCTTGCTGGGGGCCTGCCCATCCACTGGAGTTAAACCTTGCACAGTGTCCCTACAGGATAGCTGCAGCAAGTTAACCCAGGCCAGTGCTTCTTTCAATCTTCACCCTAAGCCATAGCTCCACCCCTCTCCCCTGCATGGGTGCTGATGAGATGGAGCTGAATGGTGCAGGGTGAGGTGCCCCCACTCCTGTCACCCACCGGTTTCACTTAGGGACCCATGAGGTCACTGGTTTCTCAGCAGTCATCAGCACATAGGAAACATGAAAAAGGAACTGCAGAAAAAAAGGAGAGGAGGCAGAGATCCCGGCAGAGATGAAGTCATGGTAAATCTGCTCCCACTATGCTGAAAAGGGACCCGACAGGGAGAGGAAGTCTGCAGATAGTCCACGCCACCACCGCAACATGACTTTCACCACTGTGCTGCATGTCGCAGCTCTGCTCCTGCTGCAAGGTAAGCAATGCACTTCTACCTTTCTTTCTTCTTAAGGGACTCAGCCTGGAGAACTCCATCTGCAGAGCCATATGTAGAGCACTGCACACAACACAGCTTTGCTGCTGTTGTTTTCATACTGACAGCGTTGTGTTGTCACCCAGCTTCCAAAGCTGTGGAGCAGACAGGGTGCTGAGTTCCAGTTCATTCCTAAACCCAGGATCAGTGAGACCAACTCATCTCCCAGAAGCTGGCAGCATGCTCAGGATAGGAAATTGAAGGAGTCTCCCTTAAACATGAGCAGCAGATTACAGCTTACTTTCCATGGCTTGGATATTTGTACATGCACTTGCTCACATATTTTTGTAAAAAGAGGCTAATATAATAAGTCAGAGTAATTTAGAAAGCACTCACAAAGTACTCTGAAAAGGAATAGCACTTTAAATGCTCAGCCTCTTCACTCTAACTCAAGGATGCATCTTATCCCTACCTTTCTCATCTCTTTCATACATGGGAGAGTGCATGAGGTTCACATTTGATCATGTCAAATATGGAAAGATTTCAAGATTTCAGTGAGGAAAGAGACAAAACAGCTTTCTACAGCTCAGGATTCTCTGAATGACAGCTCTGGTGCTCACCTAATAGTCTCTCCCTTCTTAAATGCTAAAGCAGAAACTGTAGCAGTGCTATTGCTGATACTACAGTAACAATCTCACACACAAAGACATTATTACAGAGGCCACATCCAGTCTGTCTAAACAGCAACAAAGCATTTTTTAAACACAGCACACTCGGGATATTTTATTACCATTGATTGTGGTTAACAGAACTTGAGCCTTGAGAATCTGCCAGTCACACTCCAGCTGAAATAGTTCTTGCTATGCCCTTTCAGCTTGCTGCAAACCAGCAGCACCCTCTTTCTGGGTGCACAGCCCCTCTTCCCCAGCACTTCCAGAGCCTGCTGTACGACAGCTTTGCACCCGCTGAGCCCCGCTCGCTGCTCTCAGCTGTCTGTCGCAGCACCTCAAGAAGCTCAGACTCCCATTCATACATTGGCAACCACAGGTCAGAAATAACTGGTTGAACAGGATGTCTCTATAGGCGACAGTGTTAAAGATAACTGAAATGACTGAGTTAGTGTTCATCTGCAACAGTGCATGTATTTTCTGCTGGCTAAAATAACAGCAGAGGCATGTACCATTGCACTCTGATTCACTGTGCAATTTCTAGCAAGAAACTGCCGGCCTGTCTTGCTAAGGTGGATGGATGCATTGCCACACCTGATGGCAGACATTTTTCCAGGTACTCAAGACAATTAGGATCCACATGGAATAAAAACCTGGCTTTTGGATCTGGCACAGGAGCATCCCCTGCCCCGCAGTGATTGCACTGCAGAGAGCATAGTGGCTTGAAGACATGCAAACTGCCCCATAAGGGGAGAGAAATTTGACGTGGGAGCCATGGTCTGCATGAAGCCATTGTCTCAAATGGAAATTACATGCATGCTCCATTCTGGGGGTTGCTCATTTCTTCTTTAAATAAGAGCAAGCAACCTCCCCCATTTTTTCTTGCTCTCTAACCTCAAAAGGTGTAACTTGAAAGACCCCACATTGCTGCTAGCAACAGGAAAGAGCCACTACGCAGCCACTGTGCAAAATATAGAAAAGCACTGTGGAAAACCACACACGAGGCCCTTTGTGCTCCTTTACCAGCACGCTGCTGGTGACACAGGCCTTCACAAATGGAACCCCTGCAAGGCCATCTCCCTTTTGCAAACTCTCACAGCTTGCACGTACCCTGCAAAACAACCTGAGAAACTGCTTTCAGCATCCAAGATCAGGTCCAATAAGAATGCCCTAAAATGGCTTCGTAGTTGTTACATTTTAAAATGTTTTTAAGAAAATGAAAAGCTTTCCTGAAGCCCAGGAGGATTCATTTCCCCAGACCACAGTGCTCATGTGTGCAGTAGGAACTCACAGCAGACAGCTACCTGACAAATAAGATTAAAACAGGAATGAAAAATAAAACCATCTTACTGCCTATTTTCTTAACTCTGACCAGGGCACCGATCTCAGCCATTTCTCCAGGGCATGCTATCTCTGGAGAAAGCAATTCATTCCAGGTCACCAAATGTTTTCAAAGTGTATTATGTATCTGTGAATAAGCTGAGAAAAACACATTCCAGAGCTCCTCTCTAAAATGAACTGGGAGGAGTGAGTGAAATTTCATTTCAGTAACACATGCCAGACCAGGTTTGTGCATCCTGCCTTCAAAGCAGCTGCAGCATTACCTTTCCTGCAGAAAAAAAAGCCTCATTCTCAGAGCTGTCAACCATTCACAGCTCCCACTCAGTTCACCCACTTGCCAATTAGGTTCAACAGCTCCAGAAAAGAATAAGGAATGCAAAAACTGATTCATATGGGGAGCACACATGCATTAAGGGGAGTGCTATCAATTCTTCATTGACTCATGTGGAATAGCATGTAGCGACTACATCTGGCTCTGCTGGCAGACAGAGGCAACAGACTGCTGGTACAGGTCCTACCTAGTGATTGTGGTGACCTATCTGAGGATTGTGAATTAATTCAATCAGTACTATCGTGCAGACAAGTTTCCTCACCTTTACGCTCTTGAGAAAAGGAAAGCTGACTTATTGCTTCATGTAAAACATGGACACCTTACTTCACATCACATTATAATGGGTCTTCTTCTCCCCCTTCTCTGTGGCAGGGGATTTTCCAGGAGCTGGCAGTGAAACCATAACCCTACAGGAAGGAGAGGACCTGAACCTCCGCTGTACCCTCAGCGGTGACAGCAGAGCCATCAGGCAGTGGCTAAACCCCCGTGGGTTTACCATTTTCCTTGACAATCGTTGGGGTAAGTGTGAAACCCCAGTGCAGAAGTTTCCATGCAGAGCAGAAGGGTCAGCCAGCAGTGGGTTTTCCAGCCCCGGCACAGAGCAGCTCTGACTCACCCAGCCGCTGCTGGGGGTGGTTTGACATCCAGCCCCTTTCTGGCAGACACCAATGAAATGGAAACCCCCCCACAAGAGTGGTCTGGCAGCAGAGCTTTTAGCGACGAACCGCGTTCACCACCAGCACCAACAGATTAGCACAACACCCACTGCTGCCTCAGACAGACAGGAGCAGACCTGCCTGAAAGCTCTGGGCACTCTTCTTCTCATCAACAGTGCTGCATTTAGTGTATCAAGGGGAAATGTTTAGAAAATAAGCAATGGTTTCTAGCACGTGTTGACAGAGCCAGAAATACTACTGCTGGCTTCCCTTCCATTCCCTATCTCTCACCTTTCTCTGCTTGAAGTTTTGCTGAGCTGACACAGCAATTTATTAAGGTCAGGGAAGGAACAGATCTGTGAGTACCTATAGCATTAGAGTGTAGCTCAAGCAGACAAAACAGTATCTGTCTTAAACCTGATGATTCTGCCCATAGCATCAACATCCTTGACCATCCCTCAGCAAGATGCATGATACAACATCCACAAAGATAGGAGTTTGCAAAGAATTTGCAAAGTCCTCTTACAATACCAAACAAAATAGTCCTTCTTTAAAGCGGAACCAAGTTATGCATGGACATTTTCAGTTTTTATTCAGAATCACCACTGTGAACTTTTGTCCCACTGGTTCCCCAAAACCCACTTTGTGAAGCAGTTTCTTCCGCTCTCGTTGTCTACAATCCTTACATTTTATATTTCATCACTACCATGAATTACAGCACAACTGTGATATTCTCCCAGCTCTGTATTTTCAAAAGACCTCACCTAAACCATTAAACATAAAGATAGTTTTTGAGATCTTTTTATGTCTAATGACTGATTCCCATCCCCAGTTTCAGTATCCCACATGACTTGCTGGCTTGTCCCCAAGACTTCCACAGGAGGAACAAAGCAAAGGCAAGAAAACGTAGACAGAAAAATGGGACTGCACAGCAGAGCGCAGTCGTCTCATAGACAGTTTCATCTAGCTAATTAAGTAAGGATAGAGCAAGAGAAACAGCCAATTAATAAACCATTAATGAAGAAGTATAGGCTGACCGTGATGTTCATTTACACACCATAACATACACCCAAAGAGGGGAAGTGATTTTTTCAAAGCCAGAGTAAGTCTTGAGAAATAGGGAATGAGGAAGGGAAAGTTCGTCACGCATCTTTGCTCTTTGTTCTTTATTCATGAGCCATATTGTTCTGACTATATATTGTGTCCTCACCCCAATGTTTGCTTGTGTTTATCTGTCTGAAGATTTCAAGACCCCAGTTACCATAAGACCTGACAACGCAGGACTAAGACTCCCTGGCTGTGCAATGGCTAGGAGGCAGCTCTAAAGGATGGAGAGCGGTTCACCTTTCACTTGCCAAAATGAACATCACAATAGGTTTTAAAAGTGAAATATACATATATATATATTTATGCTGTTTTCCCTATTGGCAGGGCTTGTACCCTTCACCTTCATCATTTAACTGCTGTCTCTGTGCTAGTGCAGCACCAGCTAGGAACACTTCACGCTAGAACTGCTCAGTTATGTCAAATGCTGAGAAGCAAACAAACAAAAAAATGCAGTAGACAAATCCAATCTCACTCATCACTGCTTTGATTATCCTTGTATGTGCCACCACACATAACATGCTGAGTTTTATTTTCCTTACAGCCTTAAAAGATCCGAGGTACAAACTTACCCGTTATTCAGAGGATGAACTGTCTGTCAGACTCTCTAACGTAACGGTGCATGATGAAGGCATATATAAATGCTTCTACTACAGCACACCGTTCAAAAGCAAGATGACAACTGTTGAGGTGTTAGGTGAGTTCTCTTCCTGCTCTATTCTACAGGAATGGAATAACAAAGCCAGCTCCTCAACTCCAGGATTGCCTTTTTGCATACAATTGTACAGTACACAGTCCCAGTCTCAGCTCAGCCCTCCCAAATAACACTGCATGTGCAGCTGCTCATAAAACCAAATAATACTTACTGCAACTGATTCTAAACCTTCCTCCTGCAGCTGCTCCTTCTAAGCCTGTACTGCATGTATCCCGAGACGCAGAAGGAAGCATTACATTATCTTGCTATACCCAAGGGTGTAAACCACAGCCCCAGGTTACCTGGCTGTTGGATAATGGAATACAGCTTCCCGGTAAGTGCTAAGGCAATATAACAATTTCTATTTATCAGCCTTATTTATTAGTCTTACTTATCCAAGTGTTCACATTTAAAAGTACTGAAGGGGGAAATATCACCAGATGAGACTCCTGCTCATCCTCTTCATTTTATACAACTCAGGCCTTGGTGGTACAGGTTAGGAGGAAAGTCAGCACCAAATAGTGGGGTCTGTGCAGGGGAGAAGGCTCACCTGATGTGCTTGTATTCAGTGCAAGAATGGCAGAACTTGGCACCAAAATCCACTGAGAATCCAGAGTGAAATTCCACTGACATGAAATGAAACCAAAACTCCGAAGGCACAATTTGCAAAGCCCAAACACAAAGTCAGATAATAAAACCATTATAACTGCTTCCATTTTGTGACTGGTACAGGCTTTCCTCAGCTGTGCTGAGCAGCTCACACCCACATCAGCTGCTCTTTTCTCATTAACCTGTTCAGAGGCAGGTAAGTCACTAGCAGAAGCAAAAAACAGAGCTCAAAAAACACACAGCTCACAACCCCCTGCAACAGCTACAGACCTGCACACATCTAGGTGAACACAGATGAGAGTAGTGGATAATAGGTAGCTCAATTTAACTTGTGTACAATAGAAACAGCTGCTTTGAAGGCTGTGATCCAATAGCTACTACTTTATTAGCTGTAACTGTTGCACACTGGAGAGGAAATGCACCTCACTAACCAACCTGTGAGGAAAACACCCCTAGGTACAAATGTATTTTCTTTTGCATGTTAACAAACTCATTTGTATTTTCTATCATTAAGCAATATTTTCATAGTTTAGCATAAAAGATTTTCCCCACAGAACAGAGTTCAAATTAGAAACAGAAAAGCCTGCTGGCCTGAATAAAGCTAGAAATCAAGACTAGAGAGAGGGGAAAAAAAAAGAAAGAAAAGCTGTTGAAATCTAGAACCTATAACAGCCCAACACACCACACAGACACCAGATAACCTCCACAACATACACAGCCAACTAAGCATCTTTCCATTTAGTTCAATAAAAGCCTACACTTACCTTCATGTCCTACTTGCATCTTGAGACTTGTAACACAAACACCAGTAAGACATTAGGACCTATCAGACCAATGAGAACTACCTGGCCTTCAGCCTCATGTCCTGCAAGCAGCTGGGAAATTAAACATCAAAGAGCTATACTGTGTTTGTTTGATCGGTTTAACTTAGAGGTGGTTTCAGATGAAGGGATATTTGCATGAAGAAGTGCTGATTCACCATCCAGCTTGTTTGTGGCTGATGCAAATTCATGTTTGAATGGAAAAATAACTCTTCTAATTCGGGGTGTCTCAAGCTTTCTGCATGTGCTTTTCCCTTTTTGCAGGTGACTGTCTTTGAGCAGAAACTCTTTTCTCCCCACACCCAACTCCATCCTGTGCTCAGCTTGAATCACTCACTGCAAATATTTATACTAATCAGAAAATAGCTAATAAATTTTAATTACTGGCAGCACCTCAGTTCCACCAGGGCACAGCAGGGGCAAACCAGCTGTAATTACTGAGCTGTTGCTGACAATTAAAGATTATTTCCTTTCTAGCAAAAACACTCTGAAATCCTTCTGAATTCTCATCTGACCCTATGGGGGACAGAAAAGAGGGCTGAGAAATACCAGTCATTGTGTCCATGTGATACAACAAATTATCCATAGAGGCTAATTTGGAAAGAAAGAATTTCTTTCATTTAAGAAATAAAGAAGTTACCACAGTACAGATAAAGAGAAAGCATTAGGCTTTTTGTCCAGAGAACCTCTATCATAGAAGCAGACAGTCAACATTATTGTACCACTGTGGGCATTTAAGGTAAACATCTGAAAAAAAAAGTCCACCAGAGCAATTCAAACTTGTCTCTGTGTCACATGAAATACATCTTTATCATCCCATACAATATAAATGAGTAGAAGTCAGTACACCTGGAGGACTGAGATCTACGCCAGACATGTCACATAGCTCTCTTTAATTCATTATGCCATGGTGATTTATCTTTGTGTTTCATCTCTCCCAACAGAGGGAGGGTCTTTTTTAGACCTCAACCATGCTGCAAACCTTATGCATATTATGCATATGGTCCTTATGCATCAGGTCCACAGCCACAAGTAGGTGATTTATTCTGTCCAGTAACGGCATGAAGTGCTGCTGGGTGTTGGGACATCCCACTGCAGTCCTACAGACTGCATGAGCCCAGCAGCAGGGGAATTTCCCCACAGAATAACCACTTGTGCATAGTAATCATGCACTATTTTAACAGAGTGAAGTAATGCAGATTGTGCCTGGAAGGTTTTTCATTAAATTGCTCTTGACTAGAAAGCACTTCAATGTTGTTTTTTTACACGGCTGTGTAGGTGACACCAGGCACAAGTTAGAAGCCAACGGGAAGAAATGGACCACAACCAGCACCCTCACAGTCCTGGCATATGGGCCCAACTCAACAGCCAGCTGCCTCGTTCACCACAAAGCACTGGGAGGAGGGAAGCTGACAGCGCCTTTCCAGTTTGAGGACGTTGCGAGGACAGGTGCTACAGCACTCTTTGCACAGTAATTATTGCATTTGAGCACTCAGGTAGAGAAAGTCATGCAAAACTGAAACACGTGGTTTACCACCTCGTGTGTGGAATTTGTTTTGCCTACTGGGGCAAAAGTGGAGCTCCAAACTAAGGTTTTATGTGAGTTATTTTTCTTTTTCTACATACCTAAAAACCCACTGTTGTTTTTCAGTGACAAACACAACCCCTGACTCAACTACACTAGAGGTGGATACGTATGTCTCTGAATATGTGCAGCCTACAGGTAGGCACCAACTGCTTGGCCTTTTTTTTACACCGATCAGATAACCATAAGATCTATCACAAAGAAATACTGTGCAGTGTCTCTGTGTAGAGGTTGGACTGCAAAAGTTGCTGTTAGCACTGAGGAATATTTTGCACAGCATTAAGAACTTTGGTTTTTTCCCCAGTGACCACAGCAGAGTCAGATCTGAACAGCAATACAGACTTCCCTCCAACCTACCCACAACATAATGGTATGAGTTTTACTTTCATTTTTTACACATTTTATGGTGTTAAATATATTCAGAAGGCAGGGGAACCAAAGGTGGAAAGGAAGGACTATAAATCTAACCACAGCTCAAGATAGGGGACTCAAGCAGCCCAGAACACAAAGAATACCGCAGCAGGTTTCATTTCCATGGACTGGGCTCAGTGGCAAAGCGTGACTTCTGATTTTTATCATGTGTTTGAGGGGTTTTCCTCCAGGATCTGAAAAACCAACTATCCCTTCTGCAGTACCAGAGAATCCATTTAGCATTATTTAGCAGCACAGCATCAACGACAGTCCAGTAAAACCTCCAACCAGCTCTCACATTTACTTGTAAGTTTAGACTTAGCTGCACTCATTTATCAAACCAAGGCAGAAACACTAGAAAACAGCACTATAAGCCATCTTACACACAAACATATGACTCAGAAAAGCAGCATTTCTTGCTTGTGAGGGAAGCCCTCCATTTCACAGCCGTAAAAGCAGGCGAGCTCTCTCCCATCAGATGCAGCACAATTACATTCCCGTTGGCAGCAGACAGATTGCCTCTCCTGGAGTGTCAGAAAGGCATGGTGAGAGCTGAGATTTCTCTGCATGGTTGCACTAGGTGGCACTGTGCAACAAAGATTATCAGTGCATACAGACGGCTGAAAACTGAAGCTATTCTAAAGGAGAACTGTTTCTAAGAGAACGAAGAGCTGCACCACAGAAGTTGCTCGACACAAATCCTCCAAAGCAGCACCCACATCAGCTTAGTGTTACAGAGCAAGCAGTGAAAAGTCAACTGTTTTAGAAAGAACTCTTTGTATTTGTTTAAAAGTGCTATGTCAGTGGTTACAAACTTCACAGTCTAGCTGCATCCTGTTGATAAACAATTCTGAGTAGTAAGAGGGAGCATGAATCTTACAGCACAGTGTGCTTATGTACCTGGTAAGGAAGGAAATGAATGTAAAGCTCTGGCAGACACAGCACGCGTTACCATTTCAGTTCCACAAATCAAAGTTAATCATACCAAAAGATATTGCCTACACGTGTAAGGAAGTCAGAACCCACCTCTCGTGTTTCTGCAGGGCCCGGAGCAACGACATCAGCTGCAGCAGGAGAGCTGTCTGGTACCTCTGCTCACCACATCCCTAACGGTACGTTACATCACAGCACAGATGCTGTGCTCATGTCCCCAGGGCAGCCATTCTCTCACGCTGGGTGATCATACTTCTGAAAGCTATAAAGACAGCAAAAGTTAATCTTAGATAGGAATACAAGAAAATATCTGCTTTAAGGAAAAATTAGCTGCCTATTCTTGTATTTGCAATCAGGCAAAGCAAAGTAAGGGAGAGGAAAAGTTCAAAAAAATAATGAAGTCAAAGCTCATCTTTCTTTTAATTTGTCTGTAAATGAGAATTATTGAGTAAGATACTCTGAGGATTTTCTGTTCATAAAGCTTATGTAGTATTTATATTAAAAAGAAATACTGTGTTAAGGAAGTGAGCATGGAGTTTTTGAGTTAAGAGCTCCAGAAGTCTCTTTCTGCTACATTATCAGGTGTTCTGGACTTCAAACCTGTTGGAAAAACACAGGATTTTCAAGCATCCCTTAGCCCTTCTTAGAAATACCATTCTCCTTTTCATCTGTCCAGGCACTGAAACAGCACTCAATGCCACAGTCACAGAGCAACTTTTCAGGACAGAAGCCTCCTTCCCAAGTAAAAACGTAACTCTGATTTCCAACAGCACCTCTGGTAAGAACTCCTAAATACTCTTCAGAGACAGCTTCCAAACATGCAGCAAGCTTCCTAACACCCAGCTGATTCTTCCTGACCTCCAAAGCTAGCATCAGTACGCTAAAGTAATACTGATTCCAGTCCTGGGGACAAACCACAGAAATGCAACCATTTTTACCATCTAGCAAAAAGCCGAATGTTACCATTTGTTGTGCTAGGGCTAAGTCTGCTGACTTCAATTAGTTTTTCATACAACTAGAAAAACAACTGAGCTTGTGTCTTAAAACTGAGCCCAACAAGGCGTATTCTGCTCTCCCACCATGCTGATCCAGCCTGGTCCAGGATACATCATTCTTGTTTTAATAACTAGAAACTCTCAAGAAGCAACAACCCAAGCATACATGTGCCTCTTTTACAGAGCAAGATGTGAAATCTGAAGGCATGAGTAAGAAGGAGAAGGATTTCCTGCTGCCACTCCTGGTGGCAGTTCTCATTGTCGTGCTGCTCATCATTGTAGTGCTTTTTACATGGAAGCTGAAGAAAGCTCATGGAGTTTGGAAGAGAGGTGAGTGATGGCACTGTTTGAGTAACTGCTTTATTTCAGAGGGGCTGAACAGCTGAGATAAGACACAGCTCCCCTGTCTTAAACAGCTGTCTACAGACAGTAGCTGTGACTTGTTGCAAACAGCTGCTGAGGATTCCCCTGTAATCAATGGCCTCACATCAAGCTTCACCCTACATGACTCAACTATATTTTCTTTTCTTAAGCACATCCCTCGTGACTGACCAGAATTACTGCATCTTCATTTTCTGCCCTCAAAAGACCAGGATTTTTATATTCAAGGAAGAGAGTGAGGAAGAGTCATGGGAAAATCTTAATCATATTTGATTTTTGCACAGAAAATGATACTTCAGACCAGACTTTGGAGAGTTATAAATCCAGATCTAACGAAGAAAGCCCAGGCCATGAGAAGAGCAGACAAGGTAAAAAGTTTCAAACCAACATAAGTTGATCTCTACCAGATAAAGTGTTGCTGCTGACCACTGCAGAAGCAGATTGCTGCCCACCTTACTGCACAGAGACACTTCCAAATTGCACACTGTGAACTGGAATATTGCAAAATTAAGCCTTTCCTATCCTGAGGCCTACTACATAGCTTGCAGCTTCAGCAAGGGTGACACAGAGCTGTACAAAATTCAAATCATTGCCTTTTTATTGAATAGTTTTGACTAGATAATCCCAGTGGTTTTATCTAAATTTAATGTGATGGAATGCTGTTCAAAACATCATCAGTGGTACTTAATTCAACTATTGTTAAACAGTCCTGAATATCCTGGGTTTTTCATCATTCTATAACACTATCATTAATATATATTTCATGCAGGTGCTTCCCCCTTTATAAAATCAGTAATAAATATGTGTTTGTCTTTCAGTTGTCAATCAGAAGTCCAACGTGCAGTATGTAACAGAAGGATATGTGGAAGCAACACAGAAGAATCCAAGCGAGAAAAACACTACAATACCTGAGGAACAGTTTGCATGTGGAAAAGAAACAGATGTATAGCAAAGGGATCCTCCTGGCAAGCCTATAAAATGTACAGAAACACCACTGTTTTCTGGCATTTATGTTTCAGCATTCACAAATCAGTATGATTTCAGGGAGCAGACATACAAACAGTTGCCTGAAATCCCAAAGGCAATTTGGATTGTTTTCGTCTGAAGGTTGGTAGATAGGGACAGTGCTCCTACATATCTGTTCATACATATGAAGACCGACTTAGCTCAGTCCTCAAAGGATTTAATTCACAGCTGGACTATGTGATTTTAATGATCTTTTCCAACCTTTATGATTTCATGATAATCAATCACTGCCAGAAATACAGGTCCTCAATCCACCCTAATTGCTATTAAGGTCCTGGCAAAGAAAACTGCAATTAGTCCCAAGGGACACAGGATATGCAGACAGTCAGCACCACTTCTGCCACCTCCCCTGTAAGCACAGGACTGACCAGGAAACTTTGAGTGATGGAAACCAATCGGTACTTCTAACATCTCATTCTGACAACCAAACCTGGGCACCCAGCTGTATTTACCCAAATATCCTGATGCCAGAGGCGTTTAAAAACAACATGGCTGTCTTCTATGGAAATCTTGAGGTGACAAAGGAGAAGAGGAACCACACAGTGGGACTCTGCAACCCAGGGGTGAATGCACTTGCCTGTGGTGGGAAAGGTGTGAGAAGCAGCAGGACGTTCCCTCTGCAGACCAACACAGTGATGTCAGCAGGAGCTCTTCTTCTGCAGGAGCCTCGTGCTGTGGTTCTGTAAGGCACAACCAGGCTCCTGAAATAAAGGGAATGTTCTACAGGACAAAGCCGTGTTTATTCTTCTCATTAAGGATGGTCATTCCTCGCCAGACTTTATTCTGCAAACTGGTCTTGGATATCGAATTAAGTAAATGCCCTTGAAGCGACTGCTAGAAATATTTCATTTTTATGTGCAAAAAATGAAAACATTACTTCATTTCAGGAGGCTGTGGATGCCCCATCCCTGCAGGCATTCAAGGCCAGGCTGGATGTGGATCTGGGCAGCCTGGTCTGCTGGTTGGTGACCCTGCACATAGCAGGGGGTTGGAATTAAATGATCATTGTGGTCCTTTTCAACCCAGGCCATTCTATGATTCTGTAATTTTGGACCTGGGGAGGGGAAGCATTTTGTATACAAACACAGATCTACCTGGCAGCTCACTGTGCAGAGCCCAGGCCAGGAACAAGCACCAACATCAAATGTTTGCTTTGCACGTATGAAACGTCCTGAAAAAACTGCAATCTGTGCACAGGGAGGAAGCACAGCCCGCCCTTCGGCTGCGCCCCTCAGCGCCCCTCAGCGCCCCGCGTTCCCGCGCCCGCGCGCTGCAATCGAATCCCGCGCTGCCACATCGCTCTTCGATAACGTCCGCGGTACCGTTTCACCTCAGCAGGGCGGCAACCGTCGTTCTAATAAACCAACCTGATTTTACCACAGCCTACCTGTCGGCTTTTCAAGTGTTTTTATTTCACCGCAGGGAACGATCTGAATTCTCGCTCCCCCAGCCTGAGGTCCGCACCCCGGGCACGCTCATTTCATTTCCCGCGCTGCCCAACCCCCCCGCCCAGCACTTGGTAGCTGCCGCGTCGCGTCCTCCGCCGTAACCATGGCGACGGCGCGGCCCAGCCCACTGCGACCGCGGGGGGGGCAGCGTGGAGACGGGCTGCTCTCATCCCACCCTTAACTCCGGTATCCGGTCTAAGGTTGCAGATGATTTAGGAAGGCTTTAATGCAATCATAATGGAAGGAAATTAACCAGAAGAGTTCGTGTGCTTTTCACTGCATTGCGCCAGCCTAAGGAGTTGGGTAAAGGGAGCACGCACCGCTTCTTGTACCGCTCTGCAGCTGTCAGATGGCTCTTTGCCTTTGTTTTGCTTTGTTTTAGCTCTGCTTTCTTTTCCATGATCTGTTTCGTGCATGATTAGCTTTGTTACCAGTAATACATCACTCTAAGGCAAATTTCATTACAAAGTCACGCATTCCTTGGTATTAACCGCTTAAAGGAGCACCCGTGCCATGGGTGAGGATAAACGTTTTAACTGTAGATCACTGCCACAACTCCTAACCAACACAAACATCTTCACCGACTGTATGGCCTCTTTGGTTCACTTTCCTGTTTTCCAAACACAGGGTTGGTGCAAACCATCAGTGTCCAGCACAGCATGAATGCCTCCAATACGGAATACGTTACAGTTTCCTCTCCATACACTTTCCACGTGAGTAACGAATGCTTCCCTCAGAGTGAGCTCACGCAACCAAGCTTTCATCCTGCAAGTTGGAAAAGGCCACCTGCAAGTGAAGGGAGCATTGGCTCAGAGCTGCGTGACTGTCAGGACTCCGACTGTGAAAGCCTTGTTCTGGAAAGGCAGTATCAGTTAGAACTCCAGCAACGGATTCGTGCTAATGACGAGCTGGTAGGACTGAGTGCTGGGCAGCTGGAGAATGACAGCTTAGAGGAAGAAGATAGCTTGGAGAAGGTGATTTCAGAGGAGCAAGAAGGAGCTAAGTATGTCACAGTGCAGTATACACACAGAGTACGAAAGAAAGAGAGCGATGGAAGGTAAGGCATAGGTTTTCAGTAGATGAGCATGGTTGTTCTAACCCCTTAAAGCCTCAGGATACACACTGCCTCTTCAAAACCAACTTAGATCACCAAAGTGCTATTATGGACACCCAAGGACCAAGTAATATGCACAACTACTGTTGTGTCTTATCCACATTCATAATCATTATACCCATTTCTCAGCTGTCGATCACGTTGGCTAAAACACCAGTGCAGGAGGTTAAGATGGAGAGAAAACATCCCTCACAGACTGCATACAGATGTTCATACTACAAGCCCTTTCATTTCTGTCTAAAACAGGCAAGCAGGAAGGTAGGAAGTGGCAAATGGTTTGTGTGGCATTTTTGAGAACATGGGTGAGAGGATTGGGGAGAAAGAAAAGAAAACACAGCTAAAACACATCCTCCTTTCATTTCCTGCAAAAAAATCCATGCTGAGCAAACTAGGTCACTGTCTGTAAGAAAACGTAAAGGAAAAAGCTGATAGGTTGATAAAACAGTTTTGTTCTTAAAACTGCATAAATCTAAAATTAAGTGTTACCATCATTAAACATTCTTTAGGAAAGCATTAACTTGCTACATAAATAAAATCAAATTTGCTGTCTTATGCATGAAAGGTTTAACACTGTAAATTGGGAATAATTCTCGAGTTTATGGGGATTAAATTAAACCTGAAGTAATAATAATGTGCAGTTTCAATTTAATTGTCTACTTAAAATAAAGTGGCAAACAAATGAAGACTAAATGATTAATAGCATGCTTTTATTCACGTCCTCAACAGGCAAAATGGCCAGTTACTGAACATTTTATTGTGAGTGCAAATGATGTTAATTGTACTAGAAACATGCTCTAATTTTTAGTAATTTTTTTGACTGAATACTATGCTGAATGTGGGGCTCTTCATTAAATGGAAATTTGATTTTATTTTGTTTGAACTTAGCCTAGCAAGTACTCAAATACAGTCCATTAACCAGAGCAAATATCACAGCATATGCATATGAACCCCCCTCTCTACATCCATTACTAACCTCGGAATTTGAAGAGGAAATGCTGCATCTGTTGTCTACGTACCACACTTTTGTTGATGAGTACAGAGTCCATCTAACCTTTATATCAAGTTGGGGGGAGGAATAAAAGGTGCACTTCTTGTCTGCAGATGATTAGAGATGAAGGAGCTCTTCACACTCATTTTGTTCCCGTGCGGTGACCTGGCCTGCATAATCCTGTTGAGCTGCTGTGCACACATTTCAGCACAATAGAACTCTCTAGCATTATACTCTGCTATTTGAATCATTACAATTATACCAAATAGTTCTATATTCATTTCAAAATATAGCCACCTATTTTTGTTTACCTGCAGTGTATGGCAACTACAAATAATAATAATTTCACTGGTGTAAATCATTTCCAGTATACAGGATACCATCATGCTTACCTGAAATGAAAAGCACTGCTAGAGAAAAAGATTTTTTTATTACTTAGAAGCCTCTTGAAATATTGATGTATACTTAACCAGTTAAGAAAGAAGGAATGAATGATTTGTGGGAGTGTTAATATGATTGGCTATGCTGCAGTTAAGAGAATTCAGCTTAGGCAGTCATTATTGGTTCTGCTGAGATTTGAGAGTGGAATCTTGGCAGGTACATCATTTTTGTTTTTCAAAGCAGTCTCTGTTTTGTAGGTGACATCATCTGCATGGAAACAATAAGATGCAGTTGTTTTATCTTTTAGCTGATGCTGCTAGTGCTTATAATATCCGTGCCAGATTTAGGATCAAGGTTGTTTGCCACTGTGATCTGAATGTTAGGCCGATTAATCATTCACTGATAATGGAAATTAAAGATGAAAAGGAGGTCCTGCCTAAATTTTATACTCAAACATGTTTTATAAAACTGTCCTGGTCCTGGTCCCACAGTTGGCCCCACTGCGTGCACTGAACTAGAGTGGTTGGTTGTGTTTGTAGAACACTTGCAGGCTCAAATTGTACACTGAGAAATGTAGAATGTATGCAATTTATACATGGATAATTTTATATTTCTGTTTTAAATAGGGAACAGCAGCCTGCAGACAAATATTTCAGCCTAAAGTACAATCCTAACTGGAAGAACACAAAAGAAGCCGTGGAATTTTCTGAAGTAGAAAAAACACACCACGTTGCTGAAGGAGGCAGTGTGGACCTTCCCCAAGATTCCTTTTACCTCCATTCCAGTGTCTCCTCAGGAGAAAAGAATCAACACGAGGCAAAGTTTCAGGAGTCATTCTCTGAGTTTGGTACAGAATTACTGAGCTTTCATGAGCCAAATGCCTTCGTCTCCAGTGAACCTTTTAGGTTACATACCAGAGGGAATGAATCTTCAGATGGCTATTATTTCAAAGATAGCCTTAGTACATACAGCAGTGCTTTTTCTCTTCGGATTCCAGAAGATCGACCTCAAAGAGCAAAAAAAGACTTTGTGGAAAAAAACAAGCGGACTTTAGGATTGCGTACAGACAAGAACAAATCCTATCTTCAGTTACATGGCAAAAAGCAAGAAGTTATTCAAGAGCAGGTAGGTAACTTTAGCAAGTTCTAACTGCTATAAACCAAAGTCTGCTGTTGAAATAGAGTATGTATATGGTCGTACAGGTTTGCATGAGGCTATCATGCAACTTAGAACTTAACAATTTCCTATGAGAATCTGATTCACCTAGTGGTGCTACATATATTCCTGGCCATGAAGCATCTGCCTCGTCAGGAGGCAACCTTTCAACATTCCTGAAAGAAATGCTGTCTTCTTTCTCATAGATTCTACATCATACCTTATTTTTAGGAGCATCTGATTTTCCTCAGCTTGGCTGACATGAATTTGGTAATACACTGCTTTCAAGGGCTTAGCACTGTTATTTAGTGTCACACATTTAGGAGTATCCAGAAAAGATGTGAATTTGAGTGGTCAGGCAACCCATTACCCTACTTGCTTTCTCACCCAGACCAAACCTGCTATTTGGAATCAATCAGTAAGCACTTGTAATATGTTGTAATTGGGTTGCAAGGGCTTGGCCTTCTTATGATTGACTGTGAAATGTCAAACACTGCATTAAGGATTAAGTGGAAATGTAATAACAGTTCCTAATGAACAATTATACAAGAGTGTGTTGCTTTTACTTGCTGCACATTATGCATAATGACAATATGGAAGTCACTGAATCACTCTATGAGTTACAGGGCAGAAAATCATTCACTTGCAAAACTAGAAACTTATGATACAGGTTTTTTTTGTGGCTAATGAGTGGTTGACACAACACTAGAGGGCATCTGCCGACTGTATTACAATGAAAGCAGCAGTGGACACGCTCTTTTCTCTCAGAGCTGTTAAAAGCACTTGTTTTTTTCAGTTATAATTTACTTGATGGTAAAAATAATTAGCATAGATGGCTGCTAATTAAAGTTGCATTGATATGATTATGTTTACTATATAGGGGATTCTTAAAATGATTCATATGTAAGTATTGGAGCCAGGGATCAGGACTTTGTAGCATAGATGCTTTCTGAAGGATTTGTAGTAGGAAAAAACAACAACAGCAACAAACCCAGCACTGCTAAAATCTGGACTGTATGCCAAAATGACCTTGCTGAGGTAGCCATCAGCCTACAACATTGGTAAGCATTTTCCATTTCTTACCTTCCTGTTGCAATAATCTCACTTAGCCTAACTTTCCTGTGTATTTTTTAATTATAACATCTGTATATTCATTGATTAAACACACAGGAAGGAATACTTACCTTTCTTGTTCTTAATCAGGACATCCATTCCTTCATCTTGTTGGAGGAGTGCATGAAGGCCTGGTAGGAGCATTTTGTTGCTGGTCCGTTGTCTCAAGGCTCGTGATTCTCAACTCAGCAATTAAGTCTTCTCAATTAGGCCAGCCACCTCACCTGGAAAACTATTAGAAATGCAAAACCAGCATTTTTATTCTCTGCAAAGAGAAGCCAACAAACCATGTGCAGCCTTCTGGAAACGCGGAACACATTCTGAGTGCAGTTTTATCCTATACTGGATTATTTTGAGCTTTTAAGGTCTTTGAAGGTTTTTTACTGGTGTAACTGCTGTTAGGTATCAGGCACTGTGGAAATGATGGTTGTGGACACTTGAAATAAGTGCATTGCATACAAGTTTATTCAGTTGATGTAGTTTCATGTAAAATACTTGCAGCCTTGTTCTTGCAGAATTTACCGATGTTACCTCTGTGCATACAGACAGCAGGCTGTATGTACCAACACATACTATAAATGTCTGTTGATCCGTACATTTCCTAATTTATATAGCATTTTATAAAGCATCAAGTTCTTCGCAGTGTTGCCTGATGATAAATTTCAGGGAGGGAGAGAAAGAGAGAGAGAGAGAGAGAGAGGGAGGCAGACAGAGAGAAGTAGCAGCCAAATCTAGCTCAGCTGTACTCAATATGAGTTGCTTTCCTACCTACAAGCCCCTTACTTCAAAGCAAGGAACATAATGTACAATTTTTTAATGGCTCTAGACCAAGGCACTCAGACTCTCTGTGCACTGCGCCTTACCTCAGTGTAAACACCTAATCAAGATTGCCTGCGCTACAACAATAGCAGCCAAATGCAATTCGAGAACCACAAGCCTTTGAAGTCCTCACTGCAAAGGCCGGTTTTCTAGTCTGGGATAATGACATGCCATGATTGCTGTCTTTGTTGTATCTTTTCAGTAGAGAAGCAATTATGGGCCTCAATTTAACAGAATAGGCATTACACAGCTTATGATGCTCAAAATGCAATTTCATTTGATCATTTTCTCAATTTGATTGGTATTAATAGAATAGTTCACAAAAAATGCTGGCAGAGGTTATGTCCTGTTCCTCTTTCAAAGAGATAATGTAGAAGTATGCTTTACCTGCCCAGTAAACCATCAATACAGTGAGGCAGTCGGTTCCACCAAAAACCTCTTGCTGACTGCCAAGCTGCATCTATCCCCGGTTCAGGAGACCTATGTGGTGACTTTCAATTTGTTAACTTATCTAGTGACAGCTAAAAGAATCTGCATAGACATTTGGGGCAGCAAGTTCACCTGAAAGCTCAGCAATAGACCCTGCCTGCCTTTTTCTAGTTCTCCCAGTGTCTCAACTCCTAAAATGCAATTTTCTTTCCCTCTCTTCTCTCCAAAAGTATAGGAATACTCCCTGCTATCATACAACTGTTAATGGTGTATTTTTTTCCCCTTCCTTTTGTTTGTTTTTTTTCAGCCTTTCATTTTCTTGTTATCTATTATATAACACCTAACTTTACTATTTGAGCTTCACTACGAGCCAAATTGTTTCTCATCCACCTCCAAAACTTTTAGACCCTTTATTCTGACTAGGCTATGTTAGCATGTGGCCTTAAACATTCTATTTCTTTTAGGTTGCAGATATTGAAACTATTGATGAGGAGCCAGTTCAGAGTGCCTTGCCATACCCAAACATGAAAATGCACCCCGAAGACAAATGGTACCTGAATTCACAGCGGCTCAAGGTTCCTTTTTGATAGAACACAATAATTGTATTTGAATTCAGAAATGTATTTGCCAAAACGTGCAAGTTTGACTGTTTCAAGCTGTAAGCTCATCACTTTGAGAGTACAAATTAATTACACTAAATTCTTAGGTGTAATCTGCACATCGTGACAAGGATGTTGCTTACTCTGCATATTGCTGTATTTCCTCGGTTGGGAGGATTCTGAGCTAGAACTCAACTGCTGTTGCATTATTTGTCCCATAAACACCCAGCAAACATCAAGGGGTGGCCATAAAGAGTAAAATTACAAGTAGAAGCTGCAGTAACCTACTGCATGCACAGAAGCATATAGATCTATTTCACACTGGCCTTTCAAACCAATATGGCAGGATAGCCTTTGGAGCAGTGAAGAGACCAGGTTGTCATCACCGGTGGGAAAAAAACCAAGGATTTCAGAACCAGAAATTCAGACTAACTGGAATTATTGTTAACAAACCTAGTGAATGTCCTTGCATTAAATTTGAAGTAGTTCAGCAGACTGTTCAAATTCCTCGCTGTTCACCTAAGAGTTGAAGCTGAATTTTTATAAAGAGCAAACACGATTTTATGCTGCTGTTTGTATTAAGAGACGTGCTTTAAATTTGAAGTTTCAGAATGAGAGGCATTTCACGGAGCTCCTCATTCCATTTAAATGGGAAAACATTGGCCTGGTCTCATTTTGGCAGTAGCTCATGCTTTCCACCGTTGGCACAGTAAGGCAGAGCGCTAATCATTGCAGCAGAGGTCGAATTAACAAATCATCATCTTGGCACCAGGAGTCAGGATTCCCCAGTGCTAAAGCTTTCACCAAAACATGCTTCTCTGTATGTGGATTTAATACCTACCATTAAGTAGTTATTCTGAGTGCATATGTTATGCAGTAGTTGCAAGTGTTGCTAACAAAAGAACCCTAGAGAGACAGGAGGATGAAATGGAGGATTGTAGTGCTGACAAAGATTAAATGGACTGAGAATGGATTTGTGTATTACCTGGAAGGAAAGCCATGCCTTTCCTCAAAATGGGCAACACGGGATGCTGTAATTGGAAAGCAGTGAATAAACCCCAGTTTTAAAGAGTGTTGGTTTAGCTGAATACAGTAGTCCTGGTGTGCTTACATTCTCAATTTTTTTCTTATCATTTAGATAATGTTTTTCAAGACACAAGGCAGGGAGGAGTGCTTGGTTTAGAAGTGAAATCATTTAAATCATTGACATAAGTTTGTTTCTGCTGTGGATCAATCTAACAGGGTGTATATAGCCATCTTTATGAAATTTGGTGCAATTTACTTTAAAAGACAAGAACTGATTTGATTTCTGAAACGTTTTCCCCCGGAGGCTGACAGTGAGCTACCTCTTGTCTACAGGGTTCAAAATAGTAGTCTGTCTATTTAAGAGCACCTGGTTTTGCACCTCCTTCAGATAAAGTTCTCTCACTCAGTATTCACCAGAGCATCGTTTCTCAGATATGTTCTGCATCTGTAAGAACCCTTTTTTTTTTAGTGCTCTGCTTCAGAACTTGTCTCAGCCCACTAAGCAGTGCTTTAAAGTGGCATTATGCATCATCCCTCAGCACCTGAATGACATTTATTGTGCTGTTCACAGTAGAGGTGCATACTTCTTTTAAATTTTGGATGAAGTCTGGCCAGCCCATCACCTGTTATAGCCACAAGCATAATGACTGAGTCAGGATTACATAATTATACCCAGGTCTCTTTAAGGGTCCTTCCATCAGGATGCGTTTCCTTAATCCAAAGCGTTACAAATACCACAAAGTGAAACTGTTGTCCTACCATTCCGGACCTTAGGAAACAGATGTTTTCCCTTTAACATGTCACCTTATGCTAAAAGTTCATTTTCAACATTAACTTTCGCCCAGGTGTTCATTCAGCCCTACACAACATTGCTGTAACTCCTTTCAGGTTGAGACTGTGGGCATTGTAACAGGCAAATTATCTGTGCACTTGCATGTTGTCAATCATAATAAACATATAAAAGAGCAAGCACTGAAATGAACTCCACTTTTGATAACTTGTTTTAGGATCACCAGAACAAGTGGTCCCAAAGAAACAAAGTAAAGTCCAACCAGAATCTCGAGGGAAGGGCTTGTTCAAGGAGTGATAACCATCAGCAGGCAGGAAGACCAGCAAAACCAAAGTCTTGGCACTACAGGCAACACCAGATGTCAGAATTTCAGACTGCTCCTCTGCAGGCAGTGGAACAATACAACAGCAATGCACTGCAGAAGTGCCCAAATCCTTCTGTTGGCCCTGACACCAATACAGCAGCAAATTCAGATACTTGCTTAATTAATTTCTCAGCATGTACTAGCAAGAACAACAAGAATTGCCAGCATGACCGTCCAAAAGGACTTGCACATGGCCAGCAACATTTATATAACCATGCCACTGTGCCATTTTTCCCAAGAAATGGCAGTGCCAGTGCTCAAGCACATCCAAATCAAAAGAAGAGTTCATCTACTTTTAATGCTAACTATCAAGAAATGGCAAAGGATCAAGTATTGCTTCAGGATTGCAAAAGACAAATTTATGCCACCAGTAGTTTATGGTAAGTATGTGTGCTGAAACTACGTCCTGATAACACTTGGATAAAGAAAATTGTTTGTTTGTTTTTTTAAGGTCCAAAAGATTAAATTCTTTGGTTCAAACCTACCTCTATAGATTACTACTAACTTAAGATTCATTCTAACTGTTGATTCTCTATAGGTATGAAGTTCTAGACTTCATGCTCTCTTACACACAGAATTTTCCACAGTTGAATGTTTTTCCCTAAATGCTAGGGAGGGAAGTTTGAAAAGCAGATGGCAAAGAATACTGTGCATAAACTCAAGTCTAGCACTACCTGCATAGAGTTATATCAAAACTTGCCCTGTGGAGTCATTCTAGCACCAATTCTGGCCTGTCACACAAGTTCTGAAAGTTGTCCCTATTTGCCATCGTGAATAGACAGACACATTTTGGCTGATTTTTAAGAGTTTGCTGATTGCTGTAGGAGTTAATCATTTTTGTGCACAAGTTCTGGAAACAAAGACTGGACAGTGTTGACATGGTAAAGGGCTTGAAAACCTAAAATCAGCAATGTAGAATTTCAGACAGACAAAACATTAATTATTTCAATACTCAGCAGGCATGATCCAAAGCCCTCTAAAGGCAGTTTTTGTTGACTTAAGCTAGCTTTAAGGCTGAACATTTCCCCATCTGATTTTTTTCTCTTCACGTGACTCAGTTTCTATGAACTTGGATGCAAGCAAAGTCAGTCACTGTGAGATTCCCACATGTCCATTTTCTTGTTCCCATTAGCTTCTGTGAGCAAGGATCATTCTTCGTACAGATGACTTATTATACTATTTGCTGTATACAAATAATGTTTTTTTCTTTTTTTGAGGCCTTCCCAAGCTTCTGTTCACAGTTCACCAGCAGCCTTTTGTACAGCCTTCCAGCTACCACAAACCATGGAGCGACAGCACCAAGAAATGTCTTGTTTGAGAGAAGCTGATGACTTGCACTTGTTCAGCCCACTTCCACCTCTAATACCCCTCATAGAAAGTGATTCAGAAGTAGATCCAGAGAGAGGTGAAGGAAATCAAGTGAAAATAAGTCGAAGCAACTCTGAAGGCTATCTCATGCAAATAGAAAAGCAAAAACAGCATAAAGTCTGCAAGAAGGTAAGCAAATAGATGTAGAGAACTGTACATTTCTACTTTCTCCTCTGATTAATATTTTATTTTTCTTGGTAATCCAAAGATCTTCTCTAAAAATAAGAAAGGGAAGGAGAAATGAGAACTTTTTCATTCTTACAGAGAGAAAGCACATGAATGTACAACGGCTTGCTTAGAGCATTAAAAATAAAGGTAGAAGGGATAAAGATAGAAGGAATAAAAGTAGGAACAGACACTGAAGATGAAGACATTTACTGGTGTTTTTTCTGACCAAATCATGTTAATCTAGAGAGCGAGGTAGTTCACCACCTCTCCCTCCATTACTTTGAGACTTGATTATCTCTAAGAACACACAGAACAGTGTTTGTCCTTTTGGGTAACCAGTGATAAAATGATTTAGAATAAAGCTGTTTGTATAAAGCAGCAGGTAGCCAGGCTTCAGATCTGAACAAACCATTATCCTGGTCATGCTCATTTGCTATCCAACACAAATCTCTTGGTTTCCAAGGGAATCAAACTGAACAAGACCAAACTTAGAGGATTTGTAAGGCTAACAGCATAAACATTATTACAGGTCTGCTGACAATCCCACTGTGGTCCTTATTAAAACCTGCTTCCTTTTGTTTTTCCTGCGTGTTCAGATTTCATACTGTAACCAGTTACACAGATGCAGTGGAGCAGCATAGGGGTATCCCTGTGCATCCATGACAAATTAAATGTTTAAGAAGTTAGTTCCACATTTCAAGGCAGACAAACTAAGCTGGAGTAATTACTCATGTGCTTCATCTAGCAGGCAATTCATGTATTGATGCTTGAATGCCTCTAAGAAGAATTAGTTGGACTACAATCAGAACTGAAGAGCAGATTTCCTTCCCTTTCTGATCCCCTGAGTTCAAAACATTGTTTTGGTCCTGTATTTTCAGTAGCTTTCTCACACTTTGTGTGTGAGGAATGCCACAAGAATACAACTCTGTCTCACAGAGCTTTTTACAATAAACAAATGCAGTCGTACTCATTGCATGCACATTTTGGCTTTGAAAATACAGTGCTCACTCACCTCTAAATGATTAGCTCTTCACAGCACCTCAAGCGAAAGGTTGGCATACCACAGAAGAGAAGGAACAGCTGATACAAACATCACATCGAATAGAAGTTTAAGTGCTTAGGTTTAGTTTCTTTGCAGTTGAATTTAACTTGAACGTGTGCACATTTTTTTCACATGCTGAAGTTTCTTACTCTTTCTGCATTGCTGTATGACTGACCATCATGAGTTCTCCCTGACAATTTCTTAACATACATTCAATCTTAAAAAAATTAACCAAGCCTTCTCAAAAGAGAGCTTGAAAAATTCTCTATAGTAAAGTCTCAAAGGGTTCAAATGGCATCACTTGTCTTCCCTGTGCATTTGTAGAACTTCCTGTGCTACAAGACATATATTTTTTAACAGCCAGGCAAGAATTTTACGTTGCAGTTTGAGAACAAGGAAAGGTTACTATAATAGATGCCTAATTTTTTTTTGCCACCAAAGTCAGGCATTTTTATCTGCTTCTCTTATAAAAGTTTCTTTGCAATTTCATTCTGTTAACTGTCAGATGGGTCACTTTCACCCATTTAAAGCTCACAAAATGTCATTTTTGACTGAGAAAGCATTGCTTTGTAATTTGGATGATTGGTAATTATCCACCCAGATTCAAAGGAAATGCAGAATAATTTGATTTCCACAGTTACCTCAATTGTTTTGGTCACTTAGAATTCTTGAAATGAGACATGGCAGAGATAACACTGAGACTGCAAGTTGAATCTTGCTCTTGAGTTTGGTGTCCACTACAAGACTGGTTTCAATTATGCTTTATATCAATGGAACAATGTGTATATATATAAAGGAAGATCTGTCACTGAGGTGTGTTTTGCAGCCATATAGCTCAAAAGCCTGTATCAATCTCGATGTAAAGCTTGGAGGCCTTGGACCTGACTATGAAGCAATCAAGGAAAAAGTAAGTGGCCCCCATCTTAACACTGCTTTTCAGATGAGCAAAGTGAACTTTGGCAGGGGAGAACGACAGAGAAGTTTTCACTGAGAAACAGTTTGAGTTTGTCTTTGTGTGCGTGACTCTAAGTCTAGCTTAAGATCATAAGGAGAGATATCAAATAGAAGGAAAGATAACTGTAACGTGGGTCCTTTCAGCCCTCTGAAACAGACATTAGTTCAACAGGAGTAGCTGGACATCGTATACTCACGTGGCTGAGCTGCACTGACATTCCCAATGTAATAGATAGTGTTTCCTAACCTTGAAATGGAACTCAAAGAAGATATAAGTAGTGCAAACATGAGAAGAAAACAGCTGAGTGAACTTGATTTACTGTTAAGCTAGTGCCAGGCATTATTACCCTGTTGAAATGAAAACAGGGTTTGGTGCAAATGTCAGTTGGTATCATTTGACCTGTTTTCCTGTGCTAGCAGCTATGTATCTGAAGAGCTGCAAGCTCTATCCTCCATGCTTTGAGGCTATTAATCTGATAACAGTTGCTTTATTTGACCTTCTCTAGAGAAAGCTTGTAGGACAGCAGGAAGCAAGTATGATAACATGATCATCCTTCTGGGGTCATTTCCTACGATTTCCTCAGCCTTCCCATAAATGAGAGAGATTAGAGATCCCAGATTGGAATGGACTGAGCCTGGGACACAGTGTGTCCTTAACAGCTCCATAACGCTTGTGGAGCCTGGTGTGCTGATGTGGTATTATTGCAATGAAAGGAAATCATTGACATTGGCTGATAACTGGGGCAAGGTAGAACACAATGCTGAATTTGAGCACAATGAATTGCTGGGAACATAAAGAGACAGAGTATCAGTTAAGTAAATGAATGTCATTCAGGGCCTCAAAAGCCAATCGAGGTTTTGAAAGTCTCTGCAAAAGCTGAAGATATTAGCAGAACCATTTTAGAACAGAACTGATGCAATGAAGCATTTAGACTAAAGATGTTGCATTTCAGTTGAGCTCTATCCTCAATATTGTCCAAGAAAAAGCTCTTAAAAGTGAAGAATGACTGAAAAACTCATCAGGGTTTCCTGTTGTGTTCTGCTGAGGGATGATCAATACCTCAGCCAGCTTAAATAGCAACAGGGATACAAACAGAAGACTCCCGTGGAAAAAGGTATTTCACTGATGGCTCCATGTTTATCATACACTTTGTTTCTTTTGTCAGAAAGAGAAGTTAAAGCAACAAAAGGAATATGCACAGCGAATTAAGGTGCACAACATGAAAAACATTGCTTTGGTTCAGAGGTTACCTACGAAGCCCCAGGTCATATCTTCAGTATCAAGACAGAAGGTAAGGGCAGAATTCTTGTCAAATGTTCACAGGGAATGATTCTGGACTTTACACGCAGAAAAAGAAAGGCAGGCATGAAAAATGAAGGAGAGCAAGACCCCTACAGGAACACTATCCAGCACGGCACACTCTTAACTTCACATCAGTGGTAGAGGCCATGCTACTGCAGAGTGCACTCTCCTGACGGACCACAGATATCCACTTATTAGTCTATTATCCACCTGCCTGTCAGTCTCAATCACAACTCTTTGCACTTCAGTTGCATAGCTACAGTAATTGGCCTCATTTTTCAAGCCCATACAACATTACTTTAGCCTTCACTGTCCTCCAGAAGTAACCTAAATGAGCAACAGCTAACTGTGTGACAATAGCATACACAAACAAACAAAGGGAGTCCCTTCTCCCTCTTGCAGAAAGTAATAAAGCTGTGAAAATAGTGTGTATTCTATCAGATCAGTCTGCAGCAGCTCCCCAGTAGGGGCTGAAAACAGAGCAGATATTTCTCTGAGGTGATGAATGACAACTGTCACATAGAAAGAAGTTTTTCATTTTACTATCAGTTGAATTCTTCAGTTCCATGCATTCATTTTCAGACCATGTAAACCACAAAGAGGTGAAACTGCACGCTCTGCACATCAAAAGGGCTTTGGATTCCTTCAGAAGACTTTATTCCAACACTTCTTTCATCATTTGTGGCCTTTCAGTACATCGGTTTCTTAACATTTGTCATTTGAACGCTCAGTTTCTGTCCTTGGCACATTAACCCATGGGACACCCTGCAATGTATGGCTGAGAACAAGAGCTTAATGAGATTAGAAGTGATGTTCAGCAACTGGACTAGTGCTGCTTTACGTTTTTAATGGAAAACCAGTATGTTTCTTTATGTAAGATAGCCTCCAGTGGTAAATGTCAGGAAGCAAATCGTGTGGTGCATTATTTTGCCTATAGCAGAGGCTTCTTGCAGTTGCTGCTGAGGCAACTGATGCGGAACACTGCCAAAAATAAAAGATCAGGAATTAGGGGAACTTCTAATTTGACTCAACAAAGAAACAACCACATTTTCTTGAAGTGTTGGACAGCTTTTCTCTTAATCACACTTTCCCACAATCTTCATGTTTTTAGGCACTGGAATATGCAAAGAAGATTCCTAAACCGAAGCCTTTCACAGCAAGGCAATCAGATGAAGAGGTGAAAGAGGAAAGAGCTCTGCTATCAACTTTAAAAAGAGACAGTTTACCTCCAGTTACACCTTTGGAAACTTTACAGAGCAGACACGAGAAGGAGAAGCAAGTTGTAGCTGCTTTCAGAACCCTTCATATCTTATAATTATCTCAAAATGATAGGGATATCTGCAAGGCAAAAATATTGGACCTGTTTAATTATGAGCTATAACATTCACACACTGATTTGCCATTCCATTCAAATATAAATTGCTTGAAGTTTCCTCAGTTTAAAGTTTTAGAATCAGTTCTACTAAATATTGAACAAGTAAATGGTAACATAGGTAGCATTTTAAGTGTGCTCATCTGTTTTCTGTTTTTTTCCCTTGCTGAGATGGTTTTCTGAATTATGCTTGGACTCGAAGGCCTTCTCCAACCTGAGCAATTCTGTGATTCGACTTTGCAGGCAGAAGTTTGTGTTGTACATCATCTTTGGGGGAAACTTGGCAGAAGAAGCACCTTGAATATGGGAAATGCAGGTCAGGTTGAAGGGAATGTTTTGCATATCCAAGTCCAGCTGTGGACATTTGCCTTACAGCTTGTGGGACAGGACTGTCCTCTGCCCCAGCCTACTTCCTTCTCTCCTTTGGGATCTTCAGCACTTGGCCCCCCCTCGATGGCACCTGCGTGCTGAGGTACAATCCACCCAGCTAGGCTGCTTGGTTCCATGCATTCCCTACTTCTCTACTTTCATTTTTTAACTAAATAGTAACACTTGGAAGCATTTCTGGTTAGAGAACCTCAATGTGTTGTTTCTGCTTAAAAGTGATAATCCCCCCCTTAATACAAACCTCGAGTACCTATTTTAATGAAACCTTCAGATGAATATCAAAGAGCTATTTACCCGTATCTAATATTTTAATTAGATTATATTCTCAATTTAACCCATTAAACCCCCTTTGATGATCTCCATGTTTAGTGTTTAGCCCCAGATGCTGGAGGTAATGAATATTGGACCTTTGGTTTAATGAGAACTTCTGCCTTTCCAGCCTGACTCCCTTTGTATCCCCCTTTTTTTATTTTCTGAGCTATAGAATTCAGTTAATTGAAGAAGTCTCTTACCACCACACATTAAGGAACCTAAATTAGCATCCCTTTTCTGATTAGAAAATGCAAGCAGACATTTTCTCTTTGATCTGAGGATTGAGTTGAAGTAGGCAACAGCTCCCTGAAAATGAGCTGATGGCCTTATTATTCGGCTGACATGCAGATGCGTCCATGTGGTGCAAAATGCTTAATGTCTTAATTGATCACCTTCCTCCCTGTCTGTCATCTCACTACCTCTTAGAGCTCCCATAAATTAGGATGACCTTTGTGGGTAGGTGGTGTGGGTTTTGGTTTTGTTTTCTTAAATAAAACAACAAACTTCGAAGAAATATTTAAATACTAAACCTGTTCATATTTATATGATGCTGCTTTTTGGGGGGGATATATATACATATGTATATATATATACACGTGTACACATATGTATATATTTTTTAAAGTCTGATCATGATCATCTCACAAACCGTTTGGAAAGCACTGTATTTTTTTCCCCCAGGAAAAGACATTATTTGCAGCATACGTGCAAAGAAAATCTTTTGATCTACCTCAATACTAATGCAAATTCTTCCTGCACCTAACAGATATGGTGGCACAAAAAGAGACCATACAAGTAAATGATGAGCATCCATCTGCTTAAAAGCAAAGGCCAAAACTTAATGTCTTTCAAATTAGGAAGGCGAGGAATTTAAATAAGAAATAGGCTTTGAATTTTGCATTAAGTATTCAGAGAGAGATTTAGTTGGAGTAGAACCTGCCTGCTGTAGCCCCATGGCTGCAGCACAGCTATTTGCAAAGCCTGGTGTTGTTCACCACGAGCACAGGCTGCCTTTACAGGGGCAGAAATATATTTGTGTTCACCATACAGTGGAAATTCTCAACATTCACTTGGCAGGCCTCTTCTACTTGCCACCATCCCTTAATGTTTTAGATTGGGAAAGTGTAGAAAACAATTATTTGACTCCACCTCAAGTCAAGAAGGCAAACTGGGTAGTTGTGACATGTGGAATCATTCAAAGCTTTCGTGATATCAATACCAAATGAGAGACCCCTGGGTAGCATCACCTGTCAGCCTTCTGAAAACAAAAGTCTGTTCTCTGAAACACATCACTCCGAGATGGAGGTTGCAATAAAAGGCAATTCTGGATTCCCTTGTTCCCCCTCTTTGAAATATGGGAGGCCCTGCAAGGGCTCAGGGGAGCTCCAGGCTTTACAAGGAGGCTGGGAGGTGCACAAGAAGAGGCAGGGGTGTGAAGAAAGGACTGGTTTTGGTGGCTGCCCCCATGGTGGGAGGAACAGCTCTAGAAGCACAAAGTCACAGTGATGGGTGAACACAGGGAAACTCCTCTGGTGACAGCTGGCAAGGGTGAGGTAAAGCAGCCTGCCTTACACAAGAGCCTGCTTTGAGCAGAAGTGATGCTGAGCCAAAAACCTGGATAGAGGAGGTGCTAAAGAAGCATCCAGCAGCTCAGCAAGAGCTTCATGTAATGGGGCAGCTGCGGGTAACACCATGGAGCTGCTCTGTGTGTCACTAGGAGCAATTCAGGGCTTGTTGCAGCAGCGACAGCAAAGCCACTGTGCTGCACAACGGTGGGGAACATGGAGTCTTCAGGAGAGCTGGGTGAACTGTCTCAGCAAAAGCCAAACAAAGGGGAGCACAGAATTTGGACAGCCTGCATTTGCTCCTGGAAACATCTATCAGAGAATTAAAACCAACTTCTGCCTTGAAAGACCCTGCAGTTCTTGCTGAGCTCACCCTTCCCTCTCTTAATCGTACTCTCTATATCCACCTGCCTTTCCCACCAGGTGTGACACATTGCTACTGCTGCAGCAACACGGAGCACATCGACAGCTGTTGTCACCCCACAGCAGTTGCAGCAGTGGAGCTACAGGTGCTTCATCTAAGCTTATTATGGTACAGAAACGAGACAAATCCAAGACAGAAATAAGCCACCTCTAAGCTGAGTAAGACCATCCCAGCAGGAACCTGCAGTTAATTAGGGTGATGCTGTTTGTTACCGCGATCGGAGAGGAGGAGCAAACTCGCCATCAGCTCAGGAGGCTGCAACGCTTTGTGCTCGCAGTGCTGTGGTCAGCATCCTGCTCACACCCCCCCCCCCCCCCCCCAGCCCTCTTCTGGACCACCTGCAGAAGCTTCGTGTTGCCAATGGAAAGAAATCACTCTGCACATTGCCCAGCAGAGAGAAGGAAGGAGGGGAGGTTGTAAAAAGGAATTCACACTGCTCTCACTGTGCCTGGGTCGCTCGCTGGGTGCTGCCACAGGTTTTGATACACTGAGTGACTGAGACCACCTGTGCTGCAGAGCAAGATTTGGTAAATAATTCTCCATCCAGCCCACATACCTGATTATGTGCGTGATCAGAACACGGACTGAAAAAACCTGGCTTGGGAAAGCTTCCCTTAGAAGTTACAAGCAGCAGAGGGAGAAATGTTGAACATAAAACAAACGTTAATGGGGAGATTTTATAGATCAATCTACATTGTGTTTAATGACAACAACCACAAGCATTAAGCACTTTAGTGTAAATTAGATTAACAGGGAACAATTTCATTTAAGAAACAAACACACAGAAGAATCCTGCCTTAAAAATCAAGACAGCAGTCAATATCTTGCAATACAGGAGAACCACCAAGATCGATTATTTCCTGCAAGCTTTTCCACCCGGCATTTCCCAAGCAAGGATGTAATGTGTGAAAGAAAAAAAGAAAGAAAAAAAGCCACTTCCAAACAGCCTCCTTCCACCCTTGGGGGGGCACAAAGGCATGGCAGGGCAAAACCCGCAGTGCTCACTGAATAGGACAGGAGCACAACCTCGTTTCACTGATCCTGGGAGCAAACCTCAGCAATAGGAACACACGGCGGCTCCGCAGCGCTGCCTTCTTCCCAGGACCGCCTCCCCTCCCCGAGCGCACCGTGACCTCTTCCCAAACTCTCACCCACGCCGTTCAGACGCCGCATCCCATCGCAGTGCTGCAGCCAGTCTGCAAGGAGCCGCTTCGCTCTGACCCTTTCCTTCCTCTGCCTCGATCTCAGCCCGTTTTTGTACCCAAACGCCCCATTATCTGCAGGTCTCGGTGCGCACCGCGCAGCATCCCGCACGGGACGGCGATTTCCCCAGCCGGTTCGTGTTTTGTATGGATTTGCGGCTGAGGTTATTAGCAAGGAGCGGCTTTGGTTTTAAACGCGATTTGATTTCAAGGCGCGGTTATAACGTTAGTTATAGCGGGGAAGAAAGAGGAGGGTTCGAGACGAGGACGTTTTCATTTCATCAGCCTGAGCACGTTGAGAAACGCGCGCCCCGACCCTGCAAAGGAGATAAGCACCAACTTTGGGGCGCTGGGTGCACTGCACGGCAGCCCATCGCACACCCGGACCGCGCTGGGGCTGACAGCGGTTCTCCCAGCACCCACTGCAGTGCCTTGCGACGGGGCGGTGCGAATACCCAAAGGACAAAGCTGCCTTCGCCTGTGCGTGCCCAGAAACTCCCTCTGCCTTTTTAATTTGCGTTCTTGCCCCATCCGAATATTTTTATATGCCTTTCCCATGGCTGTCAGCGTCTTCATTGAGCAGCAACAGCAGCGAACGAACAGTTCTTTGCACCACGAACCGCACGCAAATGTACAGAAACAGGTTTTTTTCTCTCTCTTTTTTTTCCATTCAGATGCAATTTTGGAGGATTCCTTTCACGCCTCTCATCCTAAATTCTTTCCCACTAAACTGAAGGTGTTTCCATCGCTCACCTCCAAGCATTTGATGGATAAACACATCCGAATCCGAATCTTTAAGGGCTGCGGGGGGAAAGCGCTCAGGTGGAGCTGCTGCATTCTTTGAAGTGTGATGGAGATGCGTGGCACCGCAGTGCATTTACAGATAGATAAAAACAGCCATCTGAATTATTTCTAAATACAAGGCAAAAGACACCTAGCTATTATCCATCCCGAAAGCTGAGTGTTATTTTCCCCCCTCCTTTATTATTTTACATGGAAAAACCACCAAGGGAAATCCACGGGAAGGAAGGAAGCACGCAGGTGTATCAGCCTCTATTTCATGTATTAACCAGGGTC